CTGTACACATCAACGTACATTTTAAGACAGTAAACCAAGCAATTATATATACAATTTATAAATTGTTTCCTTTTTATTTCTACAAATGGAATTCGAATTTATTAATTAAATTACTCCATTAGTTAAAGAGAAATTGTAATTAATATTAATTAAAATTTTATATATAATCCCTACTTAACTTATTTAAAATAACCTTATTTTGTTATACAAGTTATATAATATAGTTTTTCTTTCCTTAACGAGGTATTAAAGATGAAGATTTATTAACGTATTATCGAAGATACAGAAGGAAAACCCCCCAATTAACGTTCATCTACGGTTATCACGACGAAACGAGACTCGATTATCGCTGTAGAAGAGGTTAATCTGCCTATAAACCGATTTAACGCATATTTATTTTTATTATTATTTATTTATTTATTTTTTATCCGGGTTTATCAACCAAGAAGAATTTAATGGAGAAATTATCCGTAGAATGTTTCTCCGGCGTGCAAAAAGGGATCGATTTTCTATTTTTGAACAGGAGCAAGAGGAAAATTTCTGGAAATTTTGCTCCAGGCTCCCTTTTGTCAGTGAAGAAGATTCTTTTTTTCCAATCGAAAGTCGTTCACTGAAGCAAGATAATAAATGGAACGAGTTGACCCTGGAACCATTTTCAAAAAGTCTAACCTTACTTACTATAACTACGTTTAGCGCCATTTAAATATAACCCATTTATATAATTATTTTTAAAATTATTTCACTGAAATGACGTGCAGAGAAAAATATTACAGTAAACCTGTCTTACACGGAGCATAAATAAAACGAAAACCTGCCTAAACTGGAAAAAATTCTTAAAAACTTAACGATTTTGTGTTAAAAAAAACCTTTTCAAAACGGAAATTGCCAAACTATTCGGTATTTTAAGGGTCCGGTTTACACAGGTTTTGCGATAAATTGTTTTAAAATATTTTTAAAATTAGTTAATTTAATTATAATTAAGGTAAAGTAGAAAGAACTTCCTCCATCCGACGTTAAGAATTTTTGTTTGAATTGGCTTTTGTAACTATTAATACAGTGAAACCTGTCCAAAACGGAAATCTGCTTAAACTGGAAATATTCTTAGGAACTAGGCGATTTTCTGTGTTAAAAAAGAACCTGTTTAAAACGGAAACATGACAAACAGGTAAAATATTCGGTAACGTATGTCCAATTTACACAGGTTTTACTGTACTCTAATTAGGGTTTAACAATGAATAAATTTATGTACAGCGAAACCTGTGTAAAACGGACTCGTACTGTACCGAATATTTCTTCCGTTTTGGACAGGTTTTATTGTATAAGTAAATAAAGTTTCTAAATTCATTTAATTCTCTTTAAACGAGTGGAATTTTATTCTTCCAAATCTCTAATTTTTGAGTAAAATAAGATAAACGATAAGAAAATTCCTTTTAATTCACAATTAGAAAATGGAATAAAAATTTAATAACTTTAATTCTAATAATTTTCGAGATAAAGTCGAACAGACACACATACCGACGATTATCTGAATAATTTATACATTAATAAAGACGTTAGCATTTTAACATTATAAAAATTTTATTCTTAAATAAATATTTAAATTTTTAAAAAAAAATTCTGCGTAAAAATACCATTACGAATACGTCAAAACCTGTCAAAAACGGAACCCGAATAAAACGTAAACCTGCCTAAAACGGAATAAACTATTTGGAAAACGGTAAAACCTGTGTAAACGGGAATTTTCGGTACCCCGAAATACCGGATTAAACAGATTTTCCTGTAAAAAAAATCGTATAAATTTGAAAAACAAAGTAAATAAAACATAAATTTTAATTTTTAAACGCGGATAAACAGACTTACAGCTACTTAGTTATAAATAAAAGATACTTTAATATATTTTAAACCATATTAAAGAAGTATCTCAACACCATTTACTTTTTAAAATGATAAAAAAAAATCCAGTTTAAAACACTTTCTACATAGTTTTAAAGAGGATCAAGCATGAGAAATTTATATATAATTTAAATTTAGGAAGCATCATTAGAGTAGTAAGCATTAAACTGAGACAAGAGTCTGGCTCGAGTCCAGCAAAGCCAATCTCCTACTATTTAAATTGCCATTTATCATAAGTTTACACACGCCACAACAGCTAAACATCAAGGATATTTGCATAAGTTCCTACTCTACTTATGCTTCCAAGCGAAACGTGGGCATACAACATAAAAATCCATCTATATGAAGATAATATAGATGCCAAGATACATTTCCTATTTTTAAGAATTAAAAAAAAATTTTTTTTTTAATTTTTTTCGGGAGGGATGCGGCGAGATGACGTCATCTATCGATCAAAGCAATTCCGGTAGCGGGTTTAATGTCACGAAATTCCCAATGGATTCTCTCTGTTTATCTTATCGCCGGTGACGTCAACAGATTTACACTTTTATAAACATCCCTATCACACATCTTTACGAGTTTTTGATTATTTCCTCACTCGACACGCGATACAGCTGATCGCTTTCTGATTAAACTACCGAAACACTGATTTTTCTAAGTGTCTAAGCTAACAGAATACGAAATGAGGGAAAAATAATAAAAATCCTTAAAAACGAGGGGAAAATCCCTATAAATCCTTAAAAACAAAGGGAAAATCCCTAGAAAACAAAGGAAAAATCCCTAAAAACATGGACTACTAAATCTCGTACAAGATGCTGAATTAATCAGTAATCTGTAAGGAAATTTCGTTTATTTATACTTGATAAGTATTTACAGTAAAACCTGTGTAAGCCGGTACCTTCCGTTTTAAACAGGTTCTTTTTTTACAGAAAATGGTCGAGTTTCTAAGGGTTTTTCCCGTTTAGACAGCTTTCCGTTTTATTGAGGTTCCGGACTAAACAGATTCCTGATTGAAATACAGAAACAATGATTTTTCTGTGTCTAAACTATCAGAATATGAAATGAGCTGCTTAAAAAACACGGGGAAAATCGCCGAAACGAGGAAAAAATTTCTAAAACGCCTTAAAACGAGGGGGAAATTCCTAAAATCCTTTTAAAATAAATGGAAAATCCCTAAAAACAAGGAAGAAATCCCTAAAATTGTGGAAAAAATCCGGTACAAGATACTAAATTAATCAGTAATTTGTAGGGAAATTTCGTTTATTTAGGCCTATACGTGATAAATATTTACAGTGAAACCTGTGTAAGACGGACTCGTGCGGTAGTTTCTGTTTTAAACAGGTTTTTCTTTTTTAACATGGCCGAGTTTCTAAGGATTTTTTCCGATTAGGTAGGTTAACATTTTATCGAGATTCCGTTCTGGACAGGTTTTATTGCGTATTAGCTCTTTAATTATGTAAAAAGGTAGAGTTAATAGCCTAGAATCGAGTTTATTATTCATCCACTCAGACTATTTGCTTTTGTGTAAACTTGCTACACAAATTATCGATTGAATGAAACCTAGAGAAGTCCTTTTCTTCATTGTGAATGAAGCCAGGTTTAGGCCTATCATTTTTCTTCGTTTCACGTAAAACTCCTGGATTTTTACTCTATAAATTAAATATAACAAATACTTAATTAATAAATACTTAAAATTAATCTAATTCTCCATATTTTCTTTTAAGATAATTAAAATTTCTCGAATGGGTATCTTTATCAAAGGAAAATCGACTAAAAATTATTCTCTAATAATAATAATAATAAAAAAATACTAAAAATAATTTATAAAGAAATTTTTACTGTAAATTATTTTATAAGAGTCTTTTTATGGAAATTATTTATTTAAAAAAATAGCATTTTATAGCAGACATTTTATAAAATTAGCTTTAAATACAGGAGATATTTTAAGAAGAAAATTGTAAGTAGAGTGAAACCTGTGTAAAAAGGACCAGTACTACGTTTTCCGGTTTGGCAGGTTTCCGTTTTAGACAGGTTTTACTGTACATATTTTACAAAAAAGATTTTTTTTTAAAGAAGATACATTTTAATTTTACAAGAATAGCTTTTTTATAGGTAAGTTATCATCGCGTATTGTACGTTTTAACAGTATATTTTGTGAAAATCTTGCAAAAATATATATTTTACAGAGGAATTTGTAAGAAATATTTTTAAGATTGACGTTTTTAAGGGAGGATTTTTTTAGAAGAGACATTTTAAGAAGATACATTTTACAAGAGTCTTTTCAGGAAGACGTTTCAACAAGAAAAATCACCAAAAAGGACAACTTACAGGGAATTTTTTTCTACAGGAGTGTTTTCGCAACAACCGTTTTATTTTATTTTTCTTTTTTTTTAAAAAAAAAGTAAATTTTACAAGATTTTTTCCGTATTTCAACTCCTTGACTAATCACTACAGTACTCAGGCGTGTGTCTAATTCGAATTACAAATTCTACTCCAAGGCATAATGAAGTTATTATAACAGAATTGAATTCGTTACGATTACTTTTATTCGTGATGGATACAATTTATGCAAATGGAAAAATGTTACGGTTAAATGGATTGCCATAACTTGTTAAAATTACTTAGGAAATTATTAATGTTTGTCTTCCATCAAACGACATATTCGGTTCGGAATATAATAGGAAATGTTTTGTAACAATCCTTTATTATTATTCAATTTTTATTTTAATTACTTGGATTACTTGAATACGAAATTTTCACTTGCATGTCAACCTTTTATCAAATTTGCTGTTGAGTAAAACAGTCGCACGCCAATGCAAATTACCCGTCACGCAATTAACTTTAGGGTTATTTTAAACAAGATCTCTTAAATTTAATGCTGTTCCTACTCGCTTCTCGCTCCTCCAGACAAGTGCAGCTTCTGTACACGTTGTAATGAAATTATTTATTTATTTTTTTTCTTCTGGTTTTCTCGAATTTTAAATGGTTCCTATTGGCTGACGTTCCTTTCCTGGCTTTCCTCTCCTCTAGTAAAAATTGAAAAATATTGTAAGCTGTATGGAGTAATAGAAAAGGTACATTTATTTTAATAACTAATAATGAGAATCCATTCCTACACATTACAAGTCGCCCTTATCCTAAACTGCCATTCTGTTAACTCCATCGATCACTAAGGATCGTCGCATTAAGTTACTCTACCAATGAAATACAACTAAGTTGACGTCATCGACTGCAGCTCGTAGTCATAGCAACTAGGAAAAGGCTCATCGATCGGCTGACGAGTGTTGCAGGCTAGACGAAGGTCGACGTGTCCATTTGAACATTAGACACCATTTGGTGCTGTGGATTGTCATCTTTCAACGTTGGATGGAGGTGAACAATCGTACAATTTCATACATGATAGTGCAATTCATCAACGGGTATTGTTACCACTTCGGATAGTTAAATGCTGATTTCTCTAATCCAGCTATGGGCACGGTATTGAGTTTTTCACCAAAGGAACGTAAGCCGTCGTATGGTGATTATAACTTGAATAAGTACACGTACGAGCAGTTGAATAATGCGAAAAACAAGGAGAAGACGCTTGAGAAGAATGCCAATCACCATAACCATAACTTCAAGAAGCATTCCCTCTTCATCAATGCTCTTAGTTGGAAACACTTCAACGTCTCGAACAAGAAGAAGAGCGAAAAGAATAAAAACCAGAATTTACGTTATCCCCTAGATAATATAAATACTTTAGTGGATAATAACAAAAATATCCAGAACTCTCTGGCATGTTACAACCTGAAATCCAGTTCCATTGGGCCTTTGGATGTAGTTGCCAGGAATAACAACAAACCTCATAAGCCTTTACCACCTCCATTGCCACCGAAACCTGCAATTTTGACGGCTCATAATTTGGTTCGACCCATTACTCATACTACTTCCGGAGCCATCAATGCCTTTACTGCATGCGGCCCTTCCCTGAGAGCACCACCAAATGTAGTAAGTAAAAACAACGTTACAGGGGATCATACCGTTCCTAGCCCGCACAAAAAGACAGTTATACAGGCATCCACATCGGAATTGTTAAGATGTTTAGGGGAATATCTCTGTCGAAAGTGTAAAAAGATGAGAGAACTTCAACCATCCGATGCTGTTATGTGGTTAAGAAGCGTAGATAGATCATTACTTCTACAAGGTTGGCAAGATATAGCATTTATAAATCCAGCTAACGTAGTCTTCCTTTATATGCTGGTTAGAGAATTAGTTAACGACGATATCGAAACTGAACGTGAACTTCAGGCTATCGTATTAACCTGTCTATACTTATCTTACGCTTATATGGGTAACGAGATTTCTTATCCCTTAAAGCCTTTCTTAGTAGAAGATAGCAAAGAAAAATTCTGGGATAGATGCTTATTAATTATTAATTTACTGAGTGGAAAGATGTTGAAAATCAATAGTGAACCAAGCTATTTTACTGAAGTTTTTACCGAATTGAAAGGCTGCTCGATCACGGCATAACCAGACTTTAATAATAGTTTAACGGTTTAAAAAAAACTTTACTTATATATACATACACACATATATATATAAATATAAATATACTGTAAATGAAAATTGTAGAATCATATCCCATAATATTTATCTTTCTTCTACAATAGAAGGTTTGATATATGTTCATCGAAAAAAAGTGAGTGCCCCTGTAAAGCGTGCTTCACTGTAGGACTTAGTGTTCTGTTGGGAAGCTAAGTTCTGGCGCAATGCGGGAGTATAATGAGTATTTACCGTTCCTCAATCTTTAATAATAGTTAAAATCGTCCGGAATTTTGTGAAATTATCGTCATATATCGTTTTATGAAGCAGTATACGAAGTAAGTATATATATATATACATATATAAATAAGCATATATATATATAAAACTTTACAATATCTCTTTTTTGTATTTCAATCATTGAAATGCGTTCATTGTGATGATAAATGTTAAAATTTGTTGGATATAATTAATGTTGATTTTACTGTTAATCTCTTTTTAATATATCCCTTGTACTGATCTATAATGATAAATTATCCTGTTAGGTATATTATACATTTGTTAAATGTATAGTTTAAAATAAAAGAAAAATCCAAAAAAGAATAAAAACCTTCAGTACAAAAAAAAATAAGAAAAAAAAATTGATATTTTTGGTATCTAAAAGCAATATATTTAGTTAAAATTCTCATTTTAATTTGAAATTCTTATTTATACTGTTGAACAAAACATGTATTTTAAAAGCCCAAATTGTTAAACAGTCTCAAGCAATTGCCAGCCAATTCTGATCAAGAAAAGTTTTCGTCCAAATTAAATGTTGCCATTTAGGAAAATATATATACATACATATATATTTTTAACATTAAAAATTTATTTTTAAACTTTATTATTAATTTTAAAAAAAATTAGTTCATAAATGTATAATTTTTCATAATTAATTTATAGATAGAGAATTAAATGTTTTATCTTACTATCATATGATATATATAATGTCCATTTATAAGACAAAATATTATATTTTAAGTTTAATTCTTATTCTTTAAATTTAAAAAAAGAAAAAAAAATGAAGATCCAAGCCATCCTATTCTCTATCCAACATTAAACATGATGTGTTTATTGTAAGAGAGAAAAATATCTAATTGAATTTTAAAGTAAAGACAAAAAAATGCTTATGTTAAAATATAAATCCTATTACTTATTTATTTTTTTATTAAACATTAATCAGATTACCTTTACATGTTCGTGTGCGTGTGCGTGATATTGATTTGAATTTGTATCCGTTAAACTTGACCTAAAAATTTCTAATTGGGTTGATATATTTAATTATATATATATATCTAGAATTTAATTATTAATATTTTTTAATCCTTAAAATATTTTAAAAATATAATAATTGGCCATCACAGAACACGGTTGGAAAAAAGCCAGAGTGTGTAATAGTTCCCTACTTTTTGTCATTTTGAAAAATAAACACATTTAATTAAGTAGTTTTAGAATAGTGTTTATAAAAGAGTCTGTCAAAGTTATTGCTGTAAATTTAAAGACAAAAAAAATGTTTTTTTTTTTTTCTAGCAATTGCCAATAGAAATTTTTCCCTTGTGCTTGTATAAAAAAAAAGGATATAAAAAAAAAAGAAAAAAACAAATTTTAATTCCATGTCTGTAAGAGTATTTTGTGTTGTTTGTATATAGAGATTTATGAATGAATATGTGAAGTGAAGTAAAGATCCGTGGTTATTGCAATTCTTGTATATAATGTACATTAAACCTATTTCGAAATATAATATGTAGTCTATTGTATGTATCATTAAAGATTAATGATTCAAATACAACATTGATATGACATGTATTAAGTGAAGACTTCATATTCAATTGACAGAAACTTACCTTCTATTAGAAAAACATTGAGGAGAATAAACCTCAATTCTTCTCAATTATCATATTACTTTAATATGATATTAACAAAAATTAAAAACTTGGCCTATAGCTAATGTTATTACTCTTGATAAATACACTTGACTGACCTTTAAAGGATTCATTTTTTTTTGTTAAAAATGTTCCTAATTGGCCAGTACATAAATTATGTAAAGATAATCATAAGGACTCATTTTAATGAAAGAGGAAAAATTTACCATATTGTCATCATACAGAAACATGAAAATGCATACTGTAAATGAATTAATTTATATTTTAAATACAAAAAAAAATAAAAATATTACAATTTTAAGATTTATGTATATTTAAAAAAAGTTATAGTAAAATGTATTAATTTTGACAAAATAATGTGAATTTTGACTTTTAAAAATGTTCAAAAAATATATATTCAAAACACTTTTCATCAGTTTCTGAATAGTGTAGATCAAATTGAACAATAATATTGATAATAAAAGATCTTGTCTATTTCTGAATAACCTTTTTTTTTTAATTTATTTTTTTAATCAACAAACATGAAGAATTAATTGAGAAAATAAATTATATATTTACAAATTAAAATATTAAAAAATTTAATTAATATTCATATAAATTAAAACAGGAAACTTGTTTAAATTCCTTAATCACATGCAGAAAACTACATTAGATTTACTGAAGAACCTATAAAAGTATTGAATATTAGAACAGAATTACTTTAAAAATAAACTAAAAATGAATACAAATTAAGTTATTAAAAATTTAATCAATATATTTTTCTGTAAATTAAATAGAAAACTTGTTTAAATTTCTTAATTATATACTTCAAACTACTAAATAATATATAAAATTAATGAATATTAGAATCTAATTAGAAGAAAATTTTATTTAATATTTTAATGTAAATTTAAAATTCAATAACCTTTCTTTTAATTATAATTAAATTAAATTTTCTAATTTCAAAGTCTTATTCTGTAATAAAAAAAAAAAGGCATAACTTATACATTAAACAGCATTAAAAATTGTAAAATCCTTTATAATTTATTGTTTAAAAAATCTTAATAGGAGGATAAATCTAAAAATTGAGGAATTATAGAAATATCTCAAGAGAAATATTTGGAAAAATGCCAAAAAGAAAGAAAACATTTAAGTAGAATAGAAAGTTATGGGATACGGCATCAATCCAATATCAGATACAAAAGGAAATTATTTTTATAATTGGAATTGCCTCCTATTATCTATTAATACATGAGTATTATTTGAATTTTAAGTCTTAAAGGTTTTTACTGTATTCAATTTAAAAATATATATATATATATAATAGCTTTATCCCTCTATACAAAAAGTTTATTTTAAGATTTGGACTATATCCAAGCAATTATAGGATTTATGACTACTCTGAAATGTGTTTTATGTGGAATTCCTACATTTTACGGTTCCTATATTCCAATAGAGGTAAATAAAATGTGGAATTTTGGCTTTCTCATACAAAATTCTCATTTAAAAATATATATATATTTAATAAGTTTTAATACAGATATTGCTTAATATTAACTTAATAATTTATTTATCTAAACAGTATAAAGTCTACTTAATATTTTATAACTGTATTATTAACAATTTTAGTTTTTACACTTAGACATTTCAAATCTCTTACTTTTAATACAGAATAATATTTGGAATAATTATAATTTTTGAGTAATTCTAATTTGTTCCTTCAATTTTCTCTCTACAAAAAAAAAGCACTTAAAAATAATTATGCTTAATACATGCTGATAAATCTAAATAAATGCTCTTAAGTGTTTTTAAAACTGTAGAAGGCCATTAGTGAACTGAAGAAAGGATCTTCTCTATCATAATTAACTGATGTAAGTTTAATCCCNTACACATCACCCCCTTTTTCTAACTGAAATTTTTAAGAAATTTACCTTCATTTAACGAGCTATACACACACAAAAGGTTTTATTAAGTCATAGTTATGCTTCATTCATCTGTATTATCGAAGGTAATTTAGATAAAAGAGAACTGATATAGCTTTCTTGAATAATTTATAATCAGAAGTTATATACACAGAAGCGAGTAGTTTAATCTGATCTCTTTATTATACTCGTTTTAATTGAAAAATAAAAATTTCAGAAAGATTTAACAGCAATTTAAAATAATTACACATTACATTTTTAATGTTTTAACAATAAATTACATCTCCCTCCTTACATCATCTCCATGTAATGCTGCCTTTTTAATATTTAATTTAAGACTCTTAGTAAATTATTCTTTAACTATACGAACTTAAATACGTTTCTAACATGTAAAATATTCTTATAAATCTATGCTCATTGTGTAAAATAGAACAAATGAAGATTATTTTAAGTATTTTAAAGCGTAAAAAATATCAAATAAATTTCGAAATTAAAATCTCAATCGATTTAAATATACCTCCCCCTGTAAAAGTCTCTTCTCCGCATAGCACAAAGGTGTATATTTAAAAAGATGGAAGGTAAAGGAAAAAGAAAACTTTAATATTAAATCAGAATCTAATTTAAAAACAAAAATTTTGATAAAAAATGATACACAGAATTGTATATTATTTTATAAAATATTTATAAGGTTGTTCAGTTTTATCCACCGTAGCCATCTCATCAAGTTTAGTTCCGATCACATCGATACCAACACAGTCCATCCCATTATATAATCTAGGGGGAGAAAGAAGCTTGCATGTGGAAAATATTAAATTTTATCGTCATTCGCTCACGTATGAAGCCAATGTGAACACACGTTCTTATATTTTAATATAAAGGTATGTAAATAAGAATGAATAAACAACGTAGGAACATAATATTCATTTTAAATGCCTTAAGATTCGGATTTACCTTATTTTCCTTTTGTTATAAGAGGAAGCCACCTTTCTACTTTATTAAATAAACTAAACAAGAGAATAAATGATTCAAAAAAATGATATTTATACTCCTTTAAAACAGGGATACGTACTGGTTTAATTTAGAACAATGATATTAAAGTGGGCCAATATAAATATATAGTTTCTGTATAAATATATTATATTTATCTTCATTTTACAGTCAATTTTCGAAGTGTATTAAATATATTTACAAGGAAATATATATACGTACTGTACGTATACATATTAATCAATAAATTTCCTGCCTGAAGATATAATAGATACGAAGAAAATATTTCTGTACCTTTTTTTTCCCTTGTTTTAAAACTTTATTTATTTATTCATTTTAATGAGCAGGATTTAAATTTTCGTTTATTTTTTTAAATGTAAAATAAAATTAAATTCTTATTATTACTTCAATTTTACTAAGATTTGTGATGGAAAAATCGAAGAGAGAGAGAGGAGGAAAAAATGTATATATATATATGTGCGCTCGAAATTCTTTAAGTTTTATAAAATACATTAGAATAATAATTGTCTTTTCAAATAGAATTTTGAATATCTTCATTATTTTTAAAATTATTCTAAAAAAGAATTTTTGAAAACGTTTACTTGTTTATATTTTATTTTTTTTTAAGATACGATTTCTAAAAATAACATTTTAATTAAATTATTTTTTTTCCCTCTTGAAAAGCGGAGTTTTATTTATAATAAACATAATTTAACTGTATTTTTTACAGTTTAACACAGAAAAAAATGCTTATAAATTAGTATATATTATACGTACTAATTATTATGATAGAGATTAGAGAGATACGTACTAATTTATAAGCATTTTTTTGTGTTAAACAGCTTAAACTATAAAGAAATACAGTTAAAACTCTGAAGAACGGAACATAAAAAAAATGGCCGCCGTTTACAGGTGGTCGCTATTGAGGTTCGATTGCATTTGATTTCAGAAATTCCTTAAAGCTGCAAAGAGATGAATTATAAATATATTTTAATATTAATTTAGAATTAATAAATACGTTTCAGAAGATTTTAAAATTAAAATTCGAAAATAAATTATTATTATTATTTTAATTCTTAATTAATTTTTACAATATTCGTGGCGCCGCTGTAAGGAAAAAAAAACAAATGAA